GCTTCTGATAAACGTTCACTATCATTACTGTCTACTACAAAGATCAAACCCTGAAAACAAAAGAAAATATTTTAGTCAAAGATTCTTCTTCCAACAAACCCCAAATGCTTAATGGTTTGGACAGACAGACACACAAACACAAACTAACACTAAAGACTTCACAGAAATTTGTATTAAATAAACTGAAAATGCAAATGCTAAAACGTACTTAGAGAGAAAGAGAGGGAGAAAGGTGAAGCAGTGCATATGTTTAAACATGACCATACAAACAGCATAATCAATGACCCCAATGTCAACAAAACAGCATTTGTCCGATGCAATGTATTATCAGCAATTGACTAAAAAGTAGCCTGTCAGTGAACATAACTTGATTCCCCCTCAAAAGATTGGAACAAAACAGTGACTAGTAAACAAGATGCACCAGTTAAATGCCATGGAAACACTTGCATCTATTTCCTTCAGCATACTCATAAAAGTAATGGCACAACAGAAATGGGTATGACGACGGACCGTCAACTCACCTGGCATGAAATGCATGTGCTGCATACAGGCACAAGAGGTCATCTCAAAGATATTTTATGCTTTTTTATGTGTGTTGAATATGTTTCATCTAGTTTCAGTGCTAAAGTCAGTATTTTTCATGTCAGCTATCGTGTATAATGAAGCTAAGTTTAATTACAAAATGGGCATCTAAAAGTGTCCTTTGTAATACAATATCATCGCACACTAATTTGAATAAAGCCATGGTCTGTTCCAAATAAGTTGCTTTGGACTGCTCATTTCGCACTAATCTCTCCTCAGTAAAGTCCTTTTTCTACGTTTCCTATTTCCCTACAACTTAATTTAACAGATATTTCACACTTTCTTATATTAACTACATAAATTGTAGATATAATACAACAGTATTTCCAACAGTACTTTAGCTCAGATCTCTTGTTTATTATCACATGATTATCCTTAGATTGTTTTGGGTGTTTTGTTTAACGCTGCACCCAGCAATATTCCAGCTATATCACGCCTGTTTGTGAATCATTATGTCTGGAGCAGACAATCTAGTCATGGTCATTAGCATTGATCTAAGTCTAACCCATGAAGACTGAAGACCAATTATAACTGGAGAGAATGAGTGAGTTTAATTTTACGCTGCACTCTCGGCAATATTCCAGCTATATGGCGGCGGTCTGTAAATAATCGAGTTCGGACCAGAAAATCCAGTGATCAACAACATGACCACATCATACTACGATGACATATGTCAAACAAATCAGATAGTCTGACCACCCGATCCCGTTAATTCGCCTCTTACGACAAGCATAGTCGCCTTGTGCAAGCATGGGTTGCTGAAGACCTATTCTGCAAACTGTCATTATTAACAAGCAGCCTAGCACTAAAGTACTGGCGGAAATAGAAAAAACCCTGTTTTTAGGCTGTTACTCTGTATTCCTAAAATTTACACAACTGCAAATAGCATATGTCGAAATAACCAACTTCGGCCTAACTTGGCATTCAGTGGGATACGTAATAAGATATCCAGAAAAGCATGTTTTACGTAAAATCGGGCACAACTTAGAAAAATATGAATAGCTGCTGAAAACAATAGATCAGACTATAGATGGCAAGTAGGGCGCTCAGCCAGGTATGACGACGGACCGTCAACTCATCTGGCATGAAATGCATGTGCTGCCTACAGGCACAAGGGGTCATCTCAAAGATATTTTGTGCTTTTTCATGTGTGTTGACTATGTCTCTTCTATTGAGTATGATACCTGATAACCATAGAAACGTATAGTATTAAATGTCTCAAAATATATAGGTGGTATGACCACCCGATCGCGAAGGTTGACAGGACAGGATATTATTTGTAAATTGTTATGATGTGTACTACCCCAGTATAATTACCCTGAAGGATTATCTTATCTTAGCTGATATCTCTATCCCCCAGCCTGACCCCAAAGATTGTCTGCGACACCCGTTTTGCTTTTGAGACGAACCATAGTGACATAGTGACAGTGAGACTCCATGGTAGCTACATCCTTAATAGTTTCAGCATGGAAGGTATTACTTTTTTACCTCAGCTCGCGTTTATAATGAAGCTACGTCTGACATATGTCATATGACAAGCATAGTCGCCTTGTGCAAGCATAGTCTACCCCTGATCTTCACGGGTCCAAAATATTCATGAAAATGCCCAAAATTTCTCTACCGAAAAACACAAGTTACATGCCTCAGGGCTTTCAAATGCTACAGCAGCAAACCACAAAGAGTCTGAAATCACCAGCAGACATCCCTTACTAAGCTCACATAACACTCGGCGGGAACATGTATATTTCTTGTTCACAATGGTCACCTGAGTGTTCTGGAAGTAATGCCTCCACAATGGTCGGATCTTGTCCTGGCCACCGACATCCCACACCGTGAAGCTGATGTTCTTGTATTCTACTGTTTCCACATTAAAACCTGAAAAAGTACACTCCAAAATATAGAAGCTGCTGCTGCTGCCACAAACTTCTCATAAAGATGGCACCGCATAAACACTAGGCTGGAGCAATTTTTTAAAACTCAGATTAGAAGATCCTGATTACCTTTTAAATGAAAAGTTGGAACAAGAATAAAACCAAACAAAAGCATTGTTTTGTTTATTCTGACTGATTGCAAGAAACACTCACCAATTGTTGGGATAGTTGTGACTATCTCACCCAGCTTCAATTTGTAGAGAATTGTTGTTTTACCAGCAGCGTCAAGACCAACTGGAAATATAAGCATAGCATACAATCAATGCATATTATCATGATCATTTGCACCACAATTTACAAAACAAAGCTGAAAACACAATCTGGGCCTAGCACTACTATTGCCACAGAAAACCTGCATTTTTTATTAAGCTATAAGTCAAAACAGGCAGGGTCAAAATAACATTGACTTTCTCGACTGCTTTCAAATGATATAAATCCAAAATTAGAAACACTGTTGAACATGGCCAAGACATAATGAGATATGCTAAACATTTGAAAGCACAATTGGCCTTTTTGAAGCAACGTCTTATTCGTTGTTCTGTAAAATCTTCACAATCACACCACTGTAAGTTTAAACAAGAAGACAAAGTCATCAATATCCCCCTCAATGGCAAAAAACTCATCATGATTATGTCTACGAGTTATGATTATGTCAAATATTCAGGTGTGTATATAGAAATGTAGAAGGAGAGTATTGAAAGGTTTTTAAAGTTCTGCTCAAGAAAGGAGCACTATCACCAATTTCAGTCTATGTCAAACTTGTTGCCATGGAAATGCCAAAAATATTTTATTCAGAATTCCAAAACTACCAAAAGGCATCAGTACACCACCAGATCTATGTATGTGCCAAGTCTGGTGAAGAAACATTTAACGGTTTTAGAGTTCAGCTCGAAAATGTGCACCACCACTAATTTCTGTTTTAGTCAAACTTGTTGCCATGGAAATACCAAAATATTTTATTCAAAATTCCAAACCTACCAAAAGGAACCAGTACACCACCAGACCAATCTATGTGTCAAGTTTGGCTGAAGAAACATTGAGCGGTTTTAGAGTTCTGCTCGGAAAAGACAAGTGTGCAATGACTGAGTCCATTTTAACATCCCCTGCAAAAGCGTGTTGCAGGGATAACAAAACTTTAGCCAGGACATATGTTTGCTTTTTTAATGAGGCACTGAGCATTGTTCTAGTTGTATGACAACTGTCTAAAAATAATTGAGTCTGAACAAGACCACCCAGTGATCAATAGCATGAGCAGTTATTTGCCTCTTACAAGACTAATTTTGACCCCAATCTTCATGGACATATAACCAGTATATATGTGGAAACCAGACTAACGCTCATTCTTCTGAATGCACATTTCAAAGATGTGCAAAGGAAAGGTCCAACATCGCCCAGTGGGGCTATTTAAGTATTTTGAACTGATCGACATGTGTCCGCGATACAATGAATACACATTTGGTGCCAGAGAAGCAAAATCTAAACTTACAAGTTATACCACCTAATGCACAATGTAAAAAAACACCAACTGACATGGACATATTGTAAAAAATCACATTATTTTGTAAAGCTACTTCTCATGCACAATCAAGGTAACACTTCACAAATATTTCAGATAGGTAAATGATTGAGCTTTTACATTGTGAAATTTGAAGGCTGTAAAACCGTGTATTTTTTATGAAGATTTTATTCAAGAGTAAGGCATAGAGTTTTCACAACGTCACTAAGAAATAAACTTGGCACAGCAATACCACACAGGATGGGATATTCCTATGTGGCAGCCAGAATAACACTAACACATAATGATAACCCTTTATACACTCGGTAACCATACTATATATTTTCACTATTTGTCTTCCTAACACATAGTATTTGGGAATAATGAACATCGGAATTTATAAAATTACTAAACCTGTAGCATTAATATCAAATTCAAGTTTACTGTATTTCACTCAAATTTTCTCTCAGTTCATGTATTTAGTTTGTGGATTTTTCTATCGAACAAACAATTGCGATGTAATTATACAACCAATAAACTTCACAGTAAGACAACAGAAAGAATGAACGTGGCCACATCGCAAAAAAAAACTGTCATGCTAACAAATGGACAGGAAGTAAACTCACCCATCAAGATTCTCATCTGTTTTTCCCGAAGAGTCTCTGAAAGACTGATGATATTGACAGACCCATGCTGATAAAATGTACTCAGTTCAGCAAAATAAATATAAATGGGACTTGATGTATACGTTTATCAACCTCTCTTCCAAAATGTTGAACTGCTTCACATGTGAGAACAAGTAATATGCCTGCCACGTCAATTCAGCCAACCACTAACAGTGACGTCAACGATAATGGCGGTAGCAATCCCAGCATGCAAGAAAATCAAAACGCGGAATGAAGAATAAACGAAACGAAACGGCTGTTCCGGAAAGAAACGATCGTGCCCGAAAATAAAGGGAGGTAATCCGTTACTGTCCCGTTGCTACCTGAAACAAATATGGCGAAGTAGTCTTAGTTTTCGAAGTTCGAAAATAATACAGAATATTTAACTGTACTTTCCAAAAGCTTTCAAAATGGCAGCATCATTGAAAGGATTAGACCCAGATCTAAGGAAGTATTTGAGGATCAATAAGTTACCAGATATGTATGAGGTAAGGTTTAAAACAAATCTGAGTCTTCAGCATATATCGTGTTTTATATCAATTTATCATTTTGAGTAGAGAATGTTCAATAGCACATACAAAGACGTATATACGGGAAAGAGTTCCTTCCGTTCCCCCTACCCTAATCCTAACTCTAAACCTAACTGAAATTTTGGACTTTTAGTCATTTTGTGAGTTCTCTAGTAGTTGTTGTGTTGACTTTTGTTAATAATTTTTGTATATTTGTAAATATTATTTGGGATTGGGGAATGGGAGGAACTCTTACCTCTATATTTTGCGTAATTAATACTCTTAATTGTTAAATATTCTGCATTTCCATAGCTAGCTTTGTTACAACCCAGATTAGTATCGCAGTCCAGAAACCAATATATTTCCACCCCCTTGAAATCATTCTAGCTGGATATAAATATTTTGGTATTTTGGTATCTTGTACACGACTTTACTCACTTTAGGTTCCAGGCAATTGGGTATTTCAACATATAGCATTAAAGAATATAATTCTGCTGAATGCTGTTTTAGACGAACTCAAATTTTGTGTTCATGTGCTCACCGGGTTAAAGTGTGTCACATGTCACAGAACGCACCATAGCTATATATTCGGCAGAGTTTCCAAATAATTAGTAAATATTATTCCACTTGTATTTGTATGGCTTAAATTGTTGAAGTCTTGCAGCTGTGTGTCTAAGCAAACCATGGACCAATAAACAGCATAATCAAAAGATTACTTGACAAAAGAAGCTTGATAACCACATGGACATATTTCAACATTTCAACAAGTAATTAACCTTGGTAATTAACCATTATATTTATTGAGGGAAGCATTCAATGCATATGTTACTTAGGCAGCTCTGGAGCTCTTCTTACTTGCAGAGTCTGAAAGTTTAGGGGAGATATTTAGGTCTTCTAGCTTCATAGTTTTCATCACCTGCAAGTTATTTATCATTTCATGGGAAAATGTAAGAATAACTAATCCCCTTTTAATAATTGCTTAACGTCATGCTAAAGACCAAGGTTCGATTTGCCACATTGCAGGGCTCGATTTAAAGAAATGAAACCTACTTGCACCTAGTGCAACCTTAGGTAGAATCCTTGTTGCATCAGACAAAAACAGGTTGCACCTGCTGCTCAATATAAAATCTTGTATAAAGTATGATGCTTGAGTTTTGGTAATAATAGTTTAGTACATTATAACAAAAGAAATCTGGGACCGCTAACATTAGTTATCTTACTTCCTAAAATTTCATGAACAGTACGTCCTTCAGTCACTGCTCATACAGTCATCAGAGTCACTCTTCCAAGTCAGTTCCTCATCATTCTGTTTTCCAGCTGAAGTTTAAAAACTTGACTTGCACCTGGTGCAAGTTAGACTAATAACTAGGTTGCACTTTGTAATATTGGGTTGAAACAAGTGCAAGTAACAAGCACTAAATCGAGCCATGCATTGGTACAATCATAATGTGTGAAACTATTTCTAGTGTTCTCTGCCATGCCTCATATAGCTGGAATATTGTTAAAAGTAGTGTAAAACAGAACTAACTCACACTTTACATTGTTCAACATTGAAACAATACTTCTGATACTCACAACAAACATAAATCTCTTGTCCAAAAAATTCTACAAATAGTCCTTTCATATTCTGGTATACTCAGCCTTTGACTTCATGTAGTCAGTGAAGACTAGTTAGTCAAACATTACTACAGTTTGTGTTGTCTAAAATGATTTTACTGATATTTTGTGATGCTATAAGGGTGAATTTCACTCACTTGGAATCAGATGTTGGTGTATGTTGCTAGTTGATATCATAGGATGTGTCCTGAAGGTGAAGGGTAAACTTGGGTAGATAATGTAATGCAACATTGTTTAATCTTTCAGTTCACAGAGTCAACCATCATGAGCTAAGAGCCACAATGAAAAAATATTATTAATTTGAAATCCTTTGTTATAATGTCAAACCTGGTGATAATATCTTTGATGGATTTGAAAAGTTAAAAGATATGATGACTACACGAAAATACAGCAACAGACTTTTAAGAGTAAATTGTCAAATGGAATGAAGTTGCTACCACTAGGACAACACATCTTGTAAGGAATGTAAATTCTTACATGTCTTTGTTTGCATTGTGCTGGAGTGATGTAACAAATGTTTGGTCAAAAGATAATAAGAAAATAATTTATGCACAATCAACGTCAACTGATATGAAACACACAGATTTAAAACATGTAAAGATTTCCTTCTCATTATAAAGTGTCATGGTGCACTTAATTTTCAGAAAACCACTATGCATCTGTTTTTATCTGGTTTGTCTAGTTCAAACTGAAAATCAGGGTATGGTTTTGAATTACTTGGTTAAGACATTTGAAAGCCCAATAAATTGTTTCCACAAATGTGAAAAAAAACAACAAATAGACCATTTTTTTACTTCCTGCACAGACTTCTAACTGTTTGCAAAACTTCAAAGTTCAAATCGATATTCATCCCAGTTTAAGAAATTGCATTTTTTGTAATTATTTTTGTAATTTGACCACACATCCTATTGTGTTGGAAATTACTCAAAACTAATTCAAACAGATATGTTAATGCCATAATAACAATCATTCACACATATGCATAATAAAATAGCAGTGCTACAGATAACTTTTTGGGTCATTGAGTTAATTACTCGCTTTTGTTCATCTCAATTGGGTATCCTAATATTTTTCCTTATCCTGACTCATGCTTATTTGCTTGTCTTCTTCCTCTTGCGAACATAGTGGAACACTTGTATCTCTTTATTGAAGCTCCTTTCAATAAAAACGTACGTAAAATCACTACTCACCAGAGTTATCTCTGTTTCCGGTTTTGGCGGGAAAAGTGGCGCCACTGTTTCCCCACGCTTCACTCTCTCCTTCTTCGCCCTGTGAGCAGGTTGTGAGAGCGCCCTGTGTCTCTTATACGGCACTATATCCTTTCATTACTTAGTTAGTCACCTCTATTATACTATTATAGAGGTTTAGCTAGTATATTTCAACATTATGGTTTCATGTTTAATCGTATTTAGCACTGTTTATTCACGGGTTAGTCCGTGTTTGTTCAGTTGTTTACGTTCATGAAAAATTGTTCCAATTGTAGATTACGTTTCTCTGCTGCTGACCCTCATCAATTGTGCCCTAGCTGCACGGTACCATGTTCTTTCAGCTCCCGCTGTATTAATTGCAAGCATTTAACTACTTGTGCATTTAATAAATACCTTCTTTGCGTCCTTAGACGTGCTGCAGATAGGTCTAGACGGGTTGATCCAGTCATGGATAAATCAGCGGAGTCCCTCAACAGTCATCTGCTGTCTGACGACCCCCTTCCGTCTGGTGTTCCGCTGGAATTTCCCTCGGAGGAGAGGCGTGGGACGAAGTCCGCCACCTCCAAGAAGAGACCTGCTACTCCGGACATCCCGTCGTCTCAGCCTAAGACTCGGAAGTCGTCAACCACCCAGCGCTGACTCCTCACCCCCAGGGCGTCGTCCGCCACCACGGGGAAGTCAGCGCAGACAACACGGACTTTCTCAGCCGAGATTGTCCCGTTGACGGAAATGGGACTCTACGATGATCAACCGATTATCATCCCAGAGGTTCATCCCAAGAAAAGACCAGTCTCAGCTACGGTGACTTCAGCGCAGATCTCCGCACGCAACCCGAGGTATCTCGCTGACAACAAATGAGCGTCCTGTGGGCCACGTCGCTATCACCGCAGAAAGGGCAGTGCTACTACCACCGCAGACCTTCAACCCGGGGGACTTTATGCAGCAGTTCTCCCAACAAATCATGGAGATGATGCAGCAGTGTTACGGCCAGGAGAAGAAGTCACAGCCAGCCCAGAAAGAGGTCCCGAGCCTTCGCGAAGGCTCCAACGCAGACGTCGTCTCTGAGGGGCCCTCCATCAACATGACATCAAGCAGCAGATCTACACTCCAGGACCAGCCTGCGCGAAGGTCGACTCAACCATCTCCTGCGCCGGACTCGGACGATCAGCATCCGCGAAGGCATTCGCGAAGGACGACTCGGTCATCACCTGCTACGTATTCAGACGATCAGCATTCTCGAAGGCGTTCGCGAAGGAGGAATCACCAATCCCCGGATACAGAATCGGACGACCAGCGTTCGCGAAGGTGTTCGCGAAGGCGTTCGCGAAGGACCAGTCGCCATTCCCCAGATGCGGAAACAGATGATCAGCGTTCGCGAAGGCATTCGCGAAGGACTTCAGATACAGTATCCAAGACATCTTCCGCATCATGCAAATCGTCGAGGGATTCGCCGAAACATTCGCGAACCCACAGTCGCTCATCTCCGCGCAGGTCACCCTACAGACGCAGTTCGCCGGGCCACTCGCCACGCCGATCTCCACGCCGATCTCCACGCAGGTCTCCGCGCAGGTCTCCACTAAGGTCTCCACGAAGGTCGCCACACAAGTCTCCGTGCAGGTCTCTGCGCAGGTCTCCGCGCAGGTCTCCACACAGGTCACCGCATTCGCGAAGGACTCCACCTCGATCACCATCGGAGGAGGATCAACGTCCCTTACTCAACACTCCTGTCATTGAGGATGACGGCGGGATCATCTTTTCAGACGCTGAAATACCTACTGGATGGCCAACGGTCTAGACTTGGCATCTCCATCTAAGGATGATAATCCAGCTCACACCTATCTCATGCAAGATGATGATGTCGACACGATCACTCTCCCTCCGATTGATCCCATCGCAGCGGTCCCAGAGAACCTGGACGCAGCCTTCAAGTCAGCCACAAAAGCCCAAGTGCCGCATCTACCACAGTTCAACGCCAAAAAGTTCTCCTTCCACAATATGGATCCATTCCTGAAGGCACAGGACATCGATGAGAACTTCAAAGTCATCAGTGGTGCCAAGGCCAACTCTTACAACATTGAAGACAAAAAGTTGGCACAAGTTGAAACTATGACCAGGCGCATGTTCTTCGGCCTCAACAGATCAAGGGCAGTCAACGAAACGCTCATCGCCAAATTCCGTGACTCTACTGCGGAGGAAGATAGGATGATATATTCTGCCCTCCTTATGCAGAAGAAGGACCAACAGTTTATGACAGACCATCCATCTCCGCAGCGCTGACACTGGCACGTCGACAAGGTCTCCTCGCCTCCTGCAGTTGGAGTGACCACTTTACCAAGTCACTCTACACAGCCCCGTGGTCAACTCCTTCCATCTTCGCCGGAGGAATCAACGTGGTTGCCAAGGAAGTTACCAAAGACTCAAGGGAGGTCCTTATGTTCAAGTCCATAGATACTCTGGCCAGCGTCATCAGGCAAACATCCCAGCGCTACTCGGGCAAGTCCAAGTTTCCTGGGATACAGAGAGCACGGGACAAGAAAGTGGGTAGCTCCAGAGACGGAAAAAGTTCCTTTCGTCGCCCAGCCGGCAACTACAGAGCAAGGTCCGGACGAGGCAGGGCACCCAGAGGCGCCAGGGATTATCGACGATGAAAGAAGGGTTCGGAACGACTGGAGTCTTCCACCCCCAGCCCTTCCTGTACAACCTTCACAAGTGGGTGGACGCCTTCAGCTACACTGGGAAAACTGGGGAATACTTCAAGATCCGTTTGTATCCAACATCCTAAGAAACGGATATCGCTTACAACTACAGGCTGCTCCATCGCTTACAGTCAACCCTCACAAGTTCGACTTCAAGACTCATCAGATAGAGAAGTTACGAGAGGCGGTCTCATCTCTACTAGTAAAGCGAGCCATAGAGGTCGTAGATCAAACCAACATCACGCCAGGTTTCTACTCCCCAGTTTTCCTACTGCCCAAGAAAAACTCCAAAGAAAAGTTCCGACTCATCTACAATATGAGCACGTTCAACAGAGACTATCTGAGCAGACCTCCCAAGTTCCGCATGATACATCTACCTCAACTAATCCACCTCGTCCGTCCGATGGACTACATGGCCAGCATAGATCTACAGGACGCCTACCTGCATATTCCTGTACATCCAGACTCGAGGAAGTACCTGAGGTTTACACTGGACGGGCTACATTACCAATGGAAGGTCCTGCCATTTGGAATATCATCGGCCCCTTGGTTGTTTACAAGAGTGACGAAACCCATAGTCATATATCTATATCATCGAGGTCTACGCAGTGCCTTTTACCTCGACGACGGGATTCAAGTACATCAAGATCCCAAGCATCTCAGACTACAGTTGAACTTTACCATCAAACTGCTTACACAGCTGGGGTGGTTAGTGAATCTACTCAAGTCGGACCTAGAACCTACGCAGGACCTGCAGTTCCTAGGCATCAGATTTCTCACGATGCAGAACCGCATCGTCGTATTACCAGAGGACCGATGGCTCAAGATTCAACAGACAATCCCACAAGCCCTACTCTCTCCGTGGCCACTACGACAGTGGCAGAGTCTGTTGGGTCTCCTCACGTCTGCACAAGACATGACAGCCAGAGGGAGATTACAGCTACGCCCTTTACAGGTCCTCATCAATGCTCATCTCGACGACCCAGACCCCTTCGGTCTCCCGGACTACCTCAGACCTCATCTACTATGGTGGACCCAGAGAGCGAATGTCTGCGAAGGCATCTATCTAGCAGAGCCGGAGTGCAAGACTCATCTGTATGCGGACGTGTCACTCCAAGGTTGGGGAGCACATCTCGACAACGATGTGGCAGCCGGAAAATGGACCAAGGAAGAGAAAAGTCTGCACATCAACATGCTAGAAATGAAAGCAGTCGTCAACGCCATACTCCATTGGAGCAACATTCTACAGAATGCGCATCTCATGGTACACACGGACAACTCCACAGTGGCGTTCTACATAAACAAGCAAGGATCAACACGATCACTGAATCTGCTGGACCTCTGCTTTCAACTGTTCGACCTAATCAACGATCTGAACATCCACATAAGAGCATGCCACATTCCAGGAGCTACGCGTTTCCACCACCAGCGCTACTACTGAGGGTGTTGCAGAAAATCAGCCAGACCAGGAACCTCCAACTGATTTTGGTCGCGCCCTACTGGCCAGCGAGAATGTGGTTCCCCATTCTCATACAAGAACTAGGACCACCACAGCTGCAACTACCAGAGTGGTCGAATCTACTCGTACATCCTCACACAAAGCAGGCTCACGGTAACCTAGGGACATTCCAACTACACGTGTGGACTGTATCAAGGTGTGCTTGAACAAGAGAGGGTACTCCGCCAGAGCAGCGAAAGCAGTGACACTAGCTTTACGCAAGTCTACACGCAACTTGTACGACGACAAGTGGCGAAGCTTTGAGACATATGCTGCCAGAAACGGTTTTCAGCTAGAAAAGCATCACACCCTCAAGTGGCGGACTACCTTTGTCACCTACGGCAAACAAAGCGGCTAAAAGGATCCATGCTTTCAACATACCTAGCGGCATTGAGCTCAGTCATCACTATGAGGACAGGTGGCAAGCTAACGAAAGTACCAGAGTTACTGGCCTTGTTACGCTCTTATAAATTGGAGGACCAACAACAGAGATTCAAAGCTCCGGCGTGGGACCTCAACGTTGTTCAACGACATCTCACCAGTGACGTCTATGAACCATTAGAAACGACATCCTTCGAATTCTTGACACAAAAGACGCTGTTCCTGCTATCCCTAGCAACAGCAGCTATGTCGGAAATACATGCTCTAGACTACGAGAGAACACGTTTTGATGAAAATCAACAGTGCATATGGGACTACGATGGGATTTCATCTCAAAGAATCAACTGCCAGATCAACCGGACAGACAATTCCACGTCCCAGCATTATCCTCCGTCCTCGGACCACAAGATACCCATGACTTATCATTGTGCCCAGTGAGAGCATTGAGAATATATTTACAACAATCCAGAACTAGGAGACGCAAATTCAAACGACTTTCCTCCCGATATCGACAGCGACACAGACGGAGGTCTCCCGCACTACGATATCAATCTGGATCAGAACTGTCATAGTACGAGCCTACAAGGCAGCAGGACTTGATCCTCCAAGAGCCTCCAACCCACACGAAGTTAGAGTGCTGGCGTCAACACTCGCGCTCTACTACTCTGGGAATTGCTTCGCTACAGACGATAATGGAGGGCTGCTTCTGGAAATCAGACATGGTGTTTGCAAACCACTACTTGAGAGATATCGCCACCGAGGACGTCTCAGGCATTCACCATTTCGGCCCACTGGTTGTCGCACAACAGTTGACAGTTCCTCAAAGACGTTGAGACGAAGTCTCGCACTTTTATCACATGACTTATCAAGCCTACACTCAGCAGAGTTCTGCTTAAGTCTAAATGCAATCGCACTAACGACTAGCATAAGTGATATGACCCAGTACTTGTAAGAATACTTGTACAGGAAAGGGTCGCTTCCCACTTGGTGCTTGCATCAAGAAATGGAGTCGCGAAAATCCACATAAAAATGTTAACAGAGAAAGGACCAAAGTTAACAATTGTGGTCCCCCATCAAAAAGGCAGCTGAAAGGACAGGGTCACAAACAGCAGCAGAGATTAGCACAGTGCCAATCTGAAGTTCCCATAGGGGGTATATATTGACGTAAATCACTACACTCGAAATCCTAAAGTATTTTTCCGCCCTCCAAATCAGTTCGAATTCTACAAGCAAATAAGCATGAGTCAGGATAAGGAAAAAATATGTAATTTTTTTGAATAAAATTGATATTTTATACTTATCCTGACTCATGAGGTAAGCCCTCCCAACCTCCCCACTAGACACTTTGGATTTCCTGCAAATTCAAGTGTCGGGCTCATTATCAGGAGAGAGTGAAGGCGTTAGGGCCACTTTTCCATAAAACCCGAAACAGAGATAACTCTGGTGAGTTGTGATTTTATCGTGACGCTTTTATTGAAAGGAACTTCAATAAAGAGATACAAGTGTTTCACTATGTTCGCAAGAGAGGAAGAAGACAAGCAAATAAGCATGAGTCAGGATAAGTATAAAATATCAATTTTATTCAAAAAATTACATTTTCCTTGGAGTAACCAAATAAATTGTACCCACCTCACTCAAACTCAATTGGGTATTTTGCCGTTTTCCATTGCTTGTAAAAATATGATAAAGTTTTAATGTTGGTTGACGTGTTTGTTATTCATATATGATCTGTATTATGAGAAATGATAAGAAAAGACTGCAAATTGCCAAGTTCATGTGCTGAAATAGAACCTCTCAATATACCTCAGTTATTTTATCTATCTATTGGTACACAAAGTAAGATTTGACATTTTGTGTGTGTGCGGCTAGTCTGTCATACACACCCTGAAGCAAATATATCCAAGAAAGCCCACGCAAGTCTAGAAAATGTAGCAAGTCATAGTAGATTTCCACAGCTTCAGGGTCTCTGAAAATGAAGAAAGTCCCTTGGCTCCTCTTTATTGTATTTACAATTTTAATTTAAGAACTTATATTTTCTGTAAAATATGTTCATTTCATAGACTAGCAGTTAGTCTATGTGTAATGCATGTAAGAACAAATTTACTCAGTATTTACAAAAGTTGAAGCGTACTTGTACACAATAGACTTTATAGAGATTGAGTTTCCACATAAATATTTGTGTAATTTACACAGATACGCAGCTTATCTGTACTTGTGGATGTAATGTTGTCTCTTGCAGGCACTCCTGACAGGCTTAGCAGTCATGTGTCCGGAGGATCCCCTACAGTTTATTCTGGACAGGCTTCGACTCATCAAAGAAATTGGACTGGAAAACTTGCAGTGGTATGTTTTATTCTTTCATTGTCACCATCAGCATCAAGGGTAATAATAATGACTTTAAGACATGTAACAGCTCAAACAGTTTTCATGGATGCCATTCAAAATAGTTTAACCCAAATCAATAGTTTGTAGTTTGGTTGGAGGTATATATTTCAAGCATGACTGCATATGTTTTTAACTCTGTGTTACTTAGGTTGTGGCTTGACGTGTCATGATTTCCAAACATTGATATTCATTTGACCGAATACCTGTAATAATGTAACATTTGCAGAAGCCAAAATAGTCTTCTTACCCCCAAAAGCATTGTTTCTACCAAGTTCAAATTCCTTATCTTTTCTCATGTTCACTTATATTAAATGGCCTAGGTTCCTTTCTCCACTTGGGTACAGTGAGGAAAGCCTATTCCAGGTGTCACAATGACAGCAGTGTATCCCAGTGGTTAAAACGTTTGCTCCTTATATCTGCTTTCTGGGTTCTATTCCCACATGAGTGCAGTCAGTGAAACCTGGTTCTGGTGTCATTTGAGCAGTTGAGTAATTGTCAGTAATTACAGGGTTAGCTCATTACAAAGAATGGCTACCTTTCCATTTCCCACATGGGTACAGTGAGAGAAGCAACTAGACTAGTTTCCTAGTGTCTCAATGACAGCAGAGTCACGCAGTGGTTAAAGACTTTCCTCCTCACTCCAAATGTCCTTGCATTTCTCCACATTGTTAAAATGAGTGTAATCTATTCCTGGTGTCATTAGGGTGTTCACAGGAGCCTCACACTCACTCACACTGACCCAGGTATGATTCCCAACATGATTACAAATTGACAGTATTAATACCTTTTGGGGTCACAGGGTTGCTGAAGTAACTCAGTGGTTAAAGTGTTCATGCATCACATTCAATAGGCTCAGGGTTCAATTCCCACATGGATACAATTTTGGACCTTGTGGGTGCCAGTTTGGGGGGTGGGTTAGCCATGTGGTTAAAGCTCTTCACACAGAATGGCCTGTGTTTGATTCTCCCTATAAGTACACAGAGATGCCAAGTCTTGATGTCACAGTTTTGATGTCACGGTAATGGTGGAACAACCTAGTGGTTCAAGCTATTACTCAAATGACCTGGGTTCAATTCCCCTCATGGATAAATGAACATTTGAAGCTTGTCTCCTGCCATCAATTGCTTTAATTTTGTTAATAGCAACATGCAACTACATTCACTCACTCATTCCTCGTATGGACGTGTGAAGATCCGGGTTAGAATTGATCTTCAGTAACCCATGCTTGTCGTAAGAGGCGACTAACGGGATCGGGTGGTCAGGCTTGCTGACTTGGTTGACACATGTCATCGGTTCCCAATTGCGCAGATTGATGCTCATGCTGTTGATCACTGGATTGTCTGGTCCAGACTCGATTATTTACAGACCGAAGCCATATAGCTGGAATATTGCTGAGTCGCGGCGTAAAAACTAAACTCACTCACTCACTAACTCACTCATGATAACACCTCTTACTGAGCACAAACTTTTGTAACGCATGTATACTTTTGACTATGAAGTCATTTTGAGTGTTGATACCTCATTGCAATGCTACATATAATGGATTTTTTTACAGTTACACAAAAAATGGTTGTAGTCTATTGTAATGTTATCTCACTACTTTTACAGGGACATGTTTGTTGAGGAGAGTGAGAAACCCAAAATGAGGTTTTTCTCTGAAAGCAACCTGGACTTTCTATTCAACTTTGATGAATACTTGTTGGTGAGTGTGAAACATTTCCTTTTTAAATGAAATTCAGTATGAAGGTTTTTGATACAATTTTTTAAACTTTTTTCAGCCTTATTCATTTTTTAAAAAAACATTTTTATTTTCTGTACAATAGCTGTATGGAGCTGAACAATTAATTCAAATGACTGTGACCGAAGTACTGTCCAAATCAGTGCTGCTCAAGTCATGCTCCCTCAATCAATCATTGCTGGATTTTTTTTAGTTTTATCACTAAACTCTCATTATAAAGAGGTGGATGAAGTTTTTATCAACTTTAGAGTGAGTGAGTGTATGACTGAGTTAACTCTAACACTCCTTTGAACAGAATTCCAGTCATTTCCCAGAATGCAAGTTTAACGTGGGAGAAAAGACCGAAGTGATGCTGGTGTTAGATATTTACCATGTTCTTGAGTATGGCGCTGACCAACCCAGGGTTTTACATATAGGAGAAAACACGCCCCCGAGGTTTTCGTAGAGAATGTAAAAGCCCCTCGGGATTTCCCTCCTCCCAAGGTTTTACATTCTCTACCAAAACCGAGGAAAAGTGATTTCCCTAACATATAAACCGTCAATGATGGATACTTATAATGTAGATGATCATTTAATGAAGCTACATAACAATAACTGCAGCGCAAATAAAATCAATTTAATGACAGTAACTATGAATAGATAGTTCAACCCCAATGTCTTTGTTGGCTCGGTGGCCGTGAGGTAGAGTGTCAGCTTATTAACCTGATAGATGCAGTTCTAATCCTGCTGGAGAAAACATTTGCACTTTGAAATTGGTCTTGGATGATTTTTTCTCAGTTGATTTCAAACACTCATATATCATTTCAATGTTGATGTTCACATAGAGAGGAAAAAATATAACTTGGGAAGAGGTCTTACTTACAAAAAGTAAAACCTGAGTGCAAACAAAAACCTCAAATGTGGTTATTCTGGGAAAAGAAGAGATGTTTAATATATACTGAGAAGCACACTTCAGGTTTATATCTTGCCCTACAAAACTAAGGGTCTAGAGGTCCCCTAGTTACTAATTTCATGATTCCTGACAGTGACAAAAGATCTGAGGTTTCTGTAAAGTTTTGAAATTGTTTATTAATCTGTACTTGAGGATGTAATAATTACATTTGAAACAAACCGCCTCCCGTGGTGTAGTGGTTAGAGCCGTCCGCCGAGAGCCCGGAAGATAAATGAGAGTTCGATCCCCGGCCGTGTGTCATACCAAAAGGCGTTAAAATATAAGCTACTTGTTGGTCCATGCCTGGCGCTCGGCATTAATGGATACAACAATGACTGGTCGGTTGGAGTCAGTATAATGTGTCTGAGTGGGGTATTCATGCTTAACTGTGGCATGGTACCTCAGTGAGCTGGCACTATAAAATCAGCTTAAGTCTGGGCTAGCACAAGCAGCCACACATACACACGCATGCATGTTATCATAATGAGTGAAATATTCTTACTGTAAGTACGACGTTTAACCCCATTTCACCTCACCTCACCTCACCTCAGCTTAAACATTATAATTAGGGCAAACTTGAATTCAAACACACAATCAAACTCAAAGTCATTAAAGCTCCAGGTATCAGGGGCGGATACAGCTTTTTGAGAAAGGGGGGATGCACACTATTGAGAAAAGGAGGGGTGCACACTTCAATTTCACCCGAGTTTCAATGGTCATTTAACAAACTTTCAGCACAAGGAGGGGGCACAACACCACACACACCCACCACACACACACACACACACACACACACACACACACACACACACACACACACACACACACACACACACACACCCCTCTCTCTCTGGATCCACCATGAGTATGTCCATACGTTGCAGCTCTGGACAGAAAGTTACAAGACCTGGACTATACCACCATGCTCCATGTTAACTAACTGTATAGCCTAATAATTCCCTTCTTGAGATTATCGGAAACTTCTCAGTCTCTTTCTTTACAGACATGATGTATATTTCTTCCCAAGACAACCTAAATTAGTTAAAGCTGTATATACTAACTCATGATGTTTCTGCTTTGTTACAGCCAAGTCCTGAGATGGCTATGCTGTAGCCTATGGCCACTATAACACACACCTGAAGAGAATGTGCTACAGGTAACTGCTTACTGGGTTAGGTTTTCTTTCTGATATCACTGCTTAACAAACTGTCGTGCGCAAATGACAAAATTTTATGTATGACAATCACATGATGGTACAAGTTTAACGCTTTGCTTCGGAACAATTTTTTAATAAATAGAAACAAAGAATTAAGGATCAAGCTGATCTGTTTTTTCATGAAGTGCAAGGGATGTATGAAATATCGACAACAAATGTAGTGGCACTGTCTTTATTACATTCTCTCGAAAGTCATTTAAGCTCATTTTCCAGGTACAAAATATGCTGGTCTGATTGCTTCACCTAATTCTACAACCTGTGAAGATCTTGGTTAAAACTGTTTTCAGCAACTTGTACTTACAATAGTGAGGCAGCTAATGGGATCGGTGTTCAGGCTGCGGCTGACTTGATTTGACCGCGTCACCTTTATCCCACCACAAGTGTAGATCTATGTTCATGTTGTTGATCACTGAATTGTTCGGTCAAAGACTCAATTAGTTACAGACCACCTCCATACTACCCCTGAGTGCTGGATTAAACAACAAGCTCAGAAACCAACTCGTACTGAGGGGATTAAGAAGTACAACTCTGATTGTGAGATTTGAAGGGCAGATCTTTGTGTTCCGAACTGGTATTTTCATGATCAGTGAGTTGATGAGTGAAATTCAATTACAGTAGCCAGGAGGAGATGGAGACTATGGGTCCAGGAGTTTATGGATAATAGTATGGTGTAATACAGTGAGGATATTGTTAATCGTTATCAGTTTGAACTTGAGTGTCCTTGTTCGCACAATAATATCCTCTTGCTTCCCAGTGGCTGGATGCAGTATCATCTGACGGAACAGAAAAAAGAAGGAGAAAATACTGAAGAAATTGAATCTGGCAGCTTCGACATCATTCCCACGAGCATGTTCAAGTGTACACCTCAACATTTTACGGGTAGGTGGGGGTGGAGGGTATGTGTGGATGCATGGCTGGGGATGAACAACTGTCAGATGGGTGGGAAGATGTGGAGAGGTGTCGCTGTAATATTAGTAAATATTGACTTGAGTACCCTGTCTCCAGAATTGTACACATTTTGTGATGTTTGATGATTCTTTCCATGTTTATTCATCACATTTTGTTGCTTGTAGTCAGCTGATATTTGGGA